GAGGCAGGTGAATCATGAGTTCAACGCCAGCATGTTCTACAGTGAGCTCCAGGACAGCAAGGGTTACACAGAGAAACCCTGTCTTGAAAAACCAAAAGAAAAGGAAAAACAAAACAAAACAAAACAAAAAAAAAAAACAAACCCAAAAACATGCATTGCTGTGGTAGGGTTGTCATAGATGATATACCAATACTCATATTATTTTTGACAAAAGCCCGTAATTTACATTACAGTTCATCTTTATTTTGGATTCTGAAGAACATATAATGACATGCATTCAATATCTATGTAATGTTATATCCCCTTCAAAAAAAAGTCACAGAACAGTGTTCTAGCAGCTCAGTATCTTTATCATAGGAATATGAACTCTCCTGCCCCACCAACAAGTACTAGTCTTTCCACCTCAGTAGAGAGACATCTTCTACCTACTTTCTGACACCAGAAAGTCTTTCTTCTTTTTAATTCATATATCCAGCCCATCATCAAATCCTTCCTAAGATGCTGTCAAAATACAGCAAGCTAATTGTTATGTTTATGCACATAACCTCTATCACCACCTCCCTGGCCCAAGTCAGCATTTTCTCACTAGAATACTACAACAACCCCCTAATCCTCATTCTCCTGCTCCTGTCCATGGCAGTGAAACACTCCTTTCAAACTAGATCAGTTCAAGGAGGCACTTTCTTTCCATACTTTGGAGATATGGTTCTTAACCTGTGGGTCGCAACACCAGGTTGACTAATGCATCAGAAAACACAAATATTTACACTACAATTCATAAGTTATAAAGTAGCAACAAAAATAACTTCATGTCACCACAACATGAGGAACTGTATTAAAGGGTCACAGCATTAGGAAGGTTGAGAAACACTGCCTTACAGAGTAAGACCTACAATCCTAAAAACAAATAGCATACCAGTTTACATACAAACTGCCTCAGCCTCCCTTTACCTCTCTGATTTTACCTTCTATTTCCCCTTCACTTATTTGAGCATCACTCACTCACTTGCTGAGACTACATTCAGGCTCTATCAAAGGTTTTGGCACCTGCTGTTTCCTTTTCTGTGCCCCCATGGTTGCTCATACAAAGAATATGTTCAGTTAGGCTAGAACCATCCTACTTACCACTAGACTGCCTATGGTTCTACCCTCTGTACATCCTCTTTTCTAGTTTATTTTCCCCCATAGTGTTTATCACAATATGTGACTATTAAGTTGTTCTTGAAAAACTCTCCCACAAGAAAATAGAGGCAGTATTTATATACTGTTTTCTGCAGCAAAATGTCCAACCTTCAGAAATAGGCAGTAATTACTTGTTGAATTGGTGAATTAATGAATGAATAACAAATAATGATTCTTTAGGATGACATAACTGAGAATTGATGGGGAACTGAGAACAGAATATAATATAAGGCTAGCCTTTGCTTACAGGCTTGAAATTCCTCTATTAGAAATGCTCATAGCCTGAAAGGCTGGGTTTCTATTTTTGGGAAATTCCCTTATCTATTTTTCAAGGCCCTAATATAGCAAGTAAGTATACAAACATATTTATCCTATCAATAATTATAGGCAGATTTTGTAAAAAATACTTAAACAGGCATCCACACCATAAAATATGGCATATTCATGTTTATAACACAATGCTATAAAATTAGCTGGCTAAGAAAAACTGTATGTGGAAGGTCCCTAACAACCACAGATTATTTAGAAATAAATACAAAAGAAATTATTTATACTAATCAAGCAACTTTATCTCATGAAAATGAAAGGATTCCCACTAAAAACCACCAAGTGCCAATACCTTGATTAGAGTGGGAGGAATGTGTGCCTCTGATCTCTGTTCACAAGACAACTTCATGTCAAGACTCTGGCTCCTAATTCAACAAAACCAACTCTTATGGTTGAGAATAAAAGTCAACAGAAGGGTGGTCCCTGATATCAAAATTAACAGTCCTTCTTTATTTTTACTTACATATGGACTTACTATATATTCCTGGTGGGCCTGGAATTTGCTATGTAGACCAGGCTGGCCTCTGAGAACTCACAGAGCTATTCCAGCCACTGCCTCCAAACGCTAGGATTAAAGGCATGTGCCACCAGTCAGCCTAACTCTGCTTGTATGAATGCTCTATATTACAAGGGGAAAAACGGTTTAAAGAAAAAGTGGGCCACTGAGATGGCTTCAGCAGTACAAGTACTTGTTGGCAAGCCAGAAGATCTGAGTGTGAGTTCTAGAGCCCACATGGTTAAAGGGGAAAACACACTCCCACTAGCTGTCCTTGACCTTTACATTTGCTCCAAGGCAGTCACCTAACAACTAAATAAATAAATGTATTTTTTTTTAAAATGATAGTTTCAATGTTTCAGATCCATATGGCTGTTTTCCATAACAAATCCCTGTTATCACTACTATCCATTTCACTTCAGTTCTCAGGCTTTAAAACACCACAATAGCCGGGCGGTGGTGGCGCACGCCTTTAATCCCAGCACTCGGGAGGCAGAGGCAGGCGGATCTCTGTGACTTCGAGGCCAGCCTGGGCTACCAAGTGAG